GCCCTCTTTTTTTTAATTATTAAAATAAAAAAAATATGTATTAATTCAAAGCGGCTTAGAAGCATCAAGGGAAAAACTGGGTGAAAGTCTCCCAGGTTAGTGTGCAGATAGAGGACTTCTTTCACAAGGGGGAGCGTACCAACCAAGACAAAAACAATCAGACAAGACGAACATCGTGAGATGAGCCTCAAACCCCAAAGGAAGGGCACTCACAAAAGATCTTGTTGCGCGAGAATCAGGTCTGATACAATCAGTTCCTCGCCTGGGACAATAACTGACGATAGATAGCGAGGGGGGGTACGAGTTCCAACGTAGAGGAGGTAGGATGGGCAGTTGGTCAGATCTAGTATGGATCGTACATGGACGGTAGTTGGAGTCGGCGGCTCTCCTAGGGTTCCCTTATCGGGGATCCCTGGGGAAGAGGATCAAGTTGGCCCTTGCGAACAGCTTGATGCATTATCTCCCCTCAACCCTTTGAGCAATATGTGGCAAAAGGAAGGAAAATCCATGGACCGACCCCATCATCTCCACCCCGTAGGAACTACGAGACTACTAGTTGGATTAATGGATCGTCGAATTGAAAATGATAACAGAATGTATAGGTTGTTAAAAGAAGTTCTAACATGCATATACATATAGTATACCACCTAATGACCCTATTTCCTTTATGTGGAAGAAATAAAATAAAAGAACCCGCAAATATTGGTAAAACTACAATTATTGTTAACCAATGAAATTTGTTCATGGTAAAGACAAGATACACTTGGACCAGAAAAACCTATGCCCAAAAATAAGATATTTTTGAGCACAGGTTTTGGCAGTAAAAAAATGGGCTCAAGTAGGGTTTTATGTAACGTATTAATAAGCTATACCCATGATGCGGGTTGTTTCATGCCATAAATAAACTCGAACACTCAAGAAATCTGTTGGGTAGGCGGATTCACATATCTTACGACCGACACAATCCTCTGTTCTTGGAGCGGAAGATATTTGTTTGGCTTTACATCCGTCCCAATGTATCATTTCTAATACATCCGTGGGACAGGCTCGGACGCAATTTTTTTAAAGAAAATGAAAGAAAATATAAAATAAATACACCAAGGGTATTATAATCATTTTAGTTTCCGGAGCCATCAAATACACAACAAAACTAGCTCAAAAGGACCATAATCCAAAAAAATCGAGGTTTGGATCAAGCTTTAGAAAAAAATGTATATTATAGACATTAATTTGTTGCGGTGGATGAAAAATCAATTTATATGCACAGTGGTATCAGATGTTGTGCTCCTTCTTTAAGGTTGATGGTTTAAGTCCTACTGTGGACATAGATGAAATAATTTAAGAGTAGATTAGTATATATATGTGTATTGACGTTAAAAAAACAAGGTTAAAATTTATTTTAATCATATATTAAAAAATGAACAAAAATAAGTTTACTAGTCTCTTAAATATAATTAAAAGATACATATTGTAATAAACAACATAAGTTGTAATAATGATTATTTTATGACATTAACGTTAACACTTTTAAGAAAAGAAGAAAAACAAAAGTAAAAAATAACTTTAACGAAAAATAACTTATAATAAAAGACATCCCACTTTCGAAGGCCAAATAAAACAACTACCTAAAAACCGATCTGTATCCCACAAAACATAAAGCATCTACCCTATCCAAATTATTCTAGTGGGCCCTTGTTGGCCACCTTTGTGAGCCCACTATCCTACTTGTATTTTCTATAAATACTAAACAATATTCTTGTATATTGCTTAACTCTCTTCATCTCTGCCATTCATTCAAAAATCACTAGTCCCTCTTCATCTCTACCATTCGTTAAAAAATCACAAGTCTCTTTGAACAATGAAGCCTCAACATCTCTCAAGTGATACCTCTATGATACATGAGTGCAAAAGAATGGTAGGCGAAAGACTTCGACAAGCTTTTCAAGCCAGAATAGTTGTGGATGATAGCAGAAGTGAAAGAAGTGAATGTTCAGATTCAGAAAGAAAAATTTATAATACTAAACAAGTTAAAAGATTGAATCGAAGAGTGAAAATGGATGATCCAATTAGAACAATCATGTTCTTGGGATCGTGGAGCCATACATAGATATGATTTTGGTCTTTTATAATTAATGATCGATGATTGGTATATATGTTGTGTACCACGTGACTTGTTGATCCGTCGGTCATAATTATTTGATTTAAAAACCATCACATTAGTTAATGGCACATGTAAGTGATTATAGTCATAGATGATGGGAATTATCAATGAAATAACAAAAGATTAGTACTTTAAATTGTGTTCTTAGAGTTTTTATTTAGTGTCTTGTGAGTAGTTATTTACTTTAACGACATAATATAACTATAAACGTTTTTTTTATGAAGCATACTGAAGTTAATAATTGTTTAAAAATATTTTTCCCCCTAAATAATCAATTTACAAAATAAATCCAAGTACACATCCACAATTTTAGGGTGTCATTAGTTTACAAATTTCAAAGGAATTTGGAGGAATTATAAAGTAATTTATGTGTGGTTAACAAAATAAAAATAATTAGAATTTATGAAACCCCGTTAAATTATGCATTTGAAGGAATTTGTTATTTTTTTGGTTAAAGACGAAATTTCATATCTTCCCATCCGATCCACCTATATAACACTCTCACACACCGATACGCCTACCCCCACTAGCATACATATACTCACACTCACACCCACACATACATGTACATGCCCACAAGATCACACTAACACTCACCCCGACACCTACACCAATATTAACAACCACATACACATGTCCATGCCTACAAGGCCACACCAACACATACCTTGCCACCACACCCACCACCACCAAACCGCTATAATTAAAACTATACACAAATACCCACTAACCAACACACTCACCACATCCTACTCCTACATCCACCATACCTCATAACACCCATAACCATACCTACATTTACACCCCACACCGTGCAGGCATACCCCCCCCCCCCCCACACACACACACACACACAAGCATACATATGTTTTTTTTTTTCTTTCATTAGCCCAAACGCAAGATATTTATTAGTTTTTTTTATCAAGTGCATTTATCTATATATGTTTAATGTTTTTTAAAACTATTTTTTTCTTCATATATTATGTTAAAATTCAATAAAATGAGTGGATAAGAGTTTAGTAAATGAAAATTTTAGCATTTTTATTAAAGATAATAATAAGTTATAAAAAATCAATAAAAAAAATATTTTGATCATATTACATAACTAATTTCCAATTCTTGATAAATTTGCAAATGAAACGGAAAGCTTCATGATAAACAAAGATAATTCTAATTCGTTTAGAGTTCAATTCATTTATATTCCAATACATTTGAGAAATTTTATTTCTTACAAAAGCATTATACGAGAACCAAACCACACGCCCCTTGATATATTTTAAATTCGTAATTGTGAAAAGTTTATTACTATATTAATGAAATACGTGTAAATGTGCCATTTATGGTGCTTATTGGTAAAAGGTGAAATCAGATAATGAAATATAAACAAATGGTAAAGAAGTTATTATATTATTATTTTTTGATTTTGATACTCCATGGATTTTCTTTTCTAAATTAGACATTACATTGCTCACTTTTGTTCAATAAAATTAATATTAATTAATGAAAAATAAAAAATAAAAATAAGAAACATCTCCAATAGTTTTTTCTAACCACAACTTCCAACATTTCAATATGAAGTATCCCTTAACTAATTAAATTGCCATAAATTTATATTCTTTTTTTAAAGAAAAAACATAAAAGTAAATTCAAAAATGACATTAAATTTCTCATTAGTAAAAATAACAGTAAATTACTGAAACCGTCCATATGGTTTTGTCAAAATTATATGTCTGGTCTCTTTTTTTTTTCTTTTTTTTTGCATTCGGATCGTCCATGTGATTTGATTTTTTTGTCTTTTTCGTCCCTATGCTTTGATCAAAATTACACGTTTGTTCCCTAACTTTATGTATGTAAGGGATGAAAAACGGAACAAGATCAATCCACATGGACGATCCAAGTGCAAATAACAAGTTAGGAATCAAACATGCAATTTTGACCAAACCATAGAGACGATTTCAATAATTTACTCTAAAAATCATCATCTTCATCTACACTAATAAATGAATGTTTTTTTTTTGCCACATGTCACATTCTTATTCAATTTGCCAAATGTCATTTTGTAGTTATTTTGAATTAATTTCTTTTCCACATGTCATGTTATGGGTTTTTCTATTTTAATAAATTTCACGTAATACTTTAATGTGATAATTACAATAAATGTAGTAATAAATGAATATAAATTTAGTTAATGGACTTACCTTCTTATTTCAAAATTTTCAAATTAAAGTTCATTAGTTTATTTTATTAATTTATTTAAATTTAAAAGATAAAAAAAATCAATTTTAATAATTCATTATTTTTCTTATTTCTTATAAATCCAAAGTTCTTAAACATTTAGACATTTATATTTAATTTTTTTAATTAACTCATGTAATACATGAGTCTTACACTTTGTTTCTAATAAATAAAGAACTTTTTGTCACATGTCATACTCTCATTGATTTTGCCATATGTCATTTTGTGATTATTTTCAATTAATTTTTTTTCGCATGATATTTTTATGGTTTTTTCATTTTATTAATTTACACATAATATTTAAATGTAATAATTGCAATAAATATAATAATAAATGTATATCAATTTCATTAACTAGGTTCCTTCTAATTTCAAATTTTCTAAATTAAAGTTTCATTAATTTCCTTTGTTTATTTATTTAAATTATAAGAAAAACAAACAAATTAATTTTAATAATTTAATATATATTTTTTTAAATTCAAACTTCTCATATATATTGTAATTTCATATTTTTTTTCTTTAAAATAAATTAATATAATAAATAAATATGAACTCATGTAATAAATAAATAAATAAAACTATGGAAAGTTAGCTAGGCGCTTGGGTTTTTAGTTAGTTTTATACAAAGAAGTGGATAAACGGTTGTGTTCCATGAGACCTCAATGGATGTGATAAATCCTGTGCTCCGGCACCACCATCACCACCGCTGCTCCTTCAATTCCCCAAATCAATCAATATCCTCATTACTACTACTACTCCGCAGAAAACCCACTTTCAATTCCCCCCAAAAGTTTCTTTTTTCACCAATTTCTTGCTCTTCTTCAACCTCGCCGTCACCACCTTCTCCGTCGCCGGAAGTTGGTTCAGAGACAGCAGAAGCTTGCGTCAATTTGGGCCTCACCCTCTTCTCTAAAGGACGGGTACTTATACAAATATTCATCTTTTAATTCCGTCGCACTCCGTATACGTAATTATCATTGCTTATTGCTTCGAAATTCACCTAATTATATATGCGAAAATGTTTCATGTTGTTATTTATGAACTTTTGATTACCTTATTTTTGGTGTTTCTAGGGTTGAAGCTAATGGCTTCATTGTTATGGATATTGTCCGGATTTTCTTAGTTTAAATTCAGTGGCCGAAATTTATATCTGAATGTCCCCTATCATACTAATTTCTTTTTCAGGGATGCATCCATGTTTACACTTTTGAACAGCTTATAGAAGTCACTTTCTCTAGAAAATTAATAAGAATTGGTTTTATTGCTGGTACCATAAAGAGTATTTTACAACAATGTATCATGATCATGAAGTATTTGGGAACTAAAATGATAAACATCCAGACTTGGAGTGGAATGTCTGGATCAGTTTCAGTGGATCCAAGATCTGAAATTGACTATCATGATGGATATAAAATTTTCAGGTTAAAGATGCTCTCATCCAGTTTGAAACAGCGCTTACCTTGAACCCTAATCCTGTGGAGGCTCAAGCTGCACTTTATAACAAAGCCTGTTGCCATGCTTATAGGTAGGACTTTTGGTTTCCTTTTGATTATGTGTGTTGTATATCACCATGATTTTCAGGACAATCTGATTGAATTCATTTTTATCTGTTTGGAGGAAGAGGGGAGGGAAAGAAAGCTGCTGAATGTCTTCGCACTGCCCTTAAAGAATATAACCTGAAATTTGGAACCATTCTAAACGATCCAGATTTGGCCTCCTTCAGAGTTTTGCCTGAATTTAAACAGCTACAAGAAGAGGTTCTTCATCTTTTTTTTTAAAACCCTAAGTGGGTAATTAGCAAATATCAAAGTAAGTTAAATTTGAAAAGTATTTGCAGGCTAGGCTTGGTGGGGAAGATGTAGGGTATGGTTTCAGAAGAGATCTGAAGCTGATTAGTGAGGTTCAAGCTCCATTTCGTGGTGTTAGAAGATTCTTCTATGTGGCATTTACAGCAGCTGCTGGAATCTCATTGTTCCTTACTTTTCCTAGACTCTTCCTTGCTATCAAAGGTGGTGAGGGAGCTCCTGATATCTTAGGGACTTCCCAAAATGTTGCCATTAATCTTGGAGGTAAAACATATCAAGTAATTTCTAGATAGCTTTATAAAAATTGACGACTTAATGGAAAAGTCTCATCTCCTTGAATTTCTCTATTAATTGCATCAAGTAAAATAGAAACGCCCTGTACAGCTTATCAGAATAAGGGGCTGTTTCTTTTCTCATTAGTTTTTGTATGGGTAAAGCAACTGATGATGTCTGTAACTCTGTACGGATAGAATGTTGTATAACCGTCTAAATGGAACTAAATGACCATTTTACCCTTGCATTCCATTTCATAATATCCATCAATTTTAACTTGAGGAGAGTTGGGTGGAATATGTAAGAGGTTGGTGGGTTAATACATTAAGCAGTGTTTATTTTGGCTCAACTCTTTCCAGATTAAGACACACTCACGTTCCAGATTAAGTGCTTTAAGTCAAAAAAAAAAAAAATAAATAAATAAAGGTTTGAGTGTGTAGGCATTGTAGTTTTTGTGGCATTGTTTCTTTGGGATAACAAGAAAGAGGAAGAACAACTTGCTCAAATTACCCGAGATGAAACGCTATCAAGGTTGCCTCTGCGCCTCTCAACGAATCGTGTGGTTGAACTTGTGCAGTTAAGAGACACCGCAAGGCCTGTTAGTATCCAAATTCCCTTTCACCCAACCATGCATAATCACTATTCAAAAATATAAGTAGAAATTTTCATCATCAATTTGCATACTTTTCTTGAAGGTTATATTGGCGGGAAAGAAAGAGAGTGTGACTTTGGCTATTCAAAAGGCGGAGAGGTTCCGGATGGAGCTCTTGAACCGAGGTGTTATATTGGTTCCTGTGATTTGGGGGGAAGGAGAATTGCAAAGCGATAAGAGAGGATTTGGGGGTCCTAAAAAACCAGCTGCATCTCTTCCTTCTGTTGGGGTATAAATTTGCAAAATTATCCTGTAGTACTGCTATAGCACTGTAATTTAATACCTTATTTTGATGATTGTAGGAAGATTTTGAGTCGCGAGCTCAGTCGATAACTGCAAAAACAAAATTGAAGTCTGAGATCCGATTCAAGGCGGAGGTTGTGGCACCTGGGGAGTGGGAAAGGTGAGTCATAATAATCTTATTATCCTTGATGAACGTTGTTTTGGGGTTAAATAGACCACACACCACTGCATGCATATGTGACACTATTTATCAAATATCTCACTCTAAATTAAATAGGTTATTGGGTTTGTTTTAAGTGTGCTAAGTTGTTTGAAAGGTGGATAAAGGAGCAACAAAAATCAGAGGGAGTTACACCCGGTGAGGATGTATATATTATACTACGTCTAGATGGTCGCGTTCGAAGATCAGGGAGGGTCAGTACTCACTGCTCTTTTTTATCATTATTATTATTTCTATTATTATTTTCGTATCGCTCTTTCATTCTAAGTCCATTAAATTTCTCACCATCATAATTGGCTTTTTCTAAACAAATCAATGATTCAAATAGGAAAAAAAGAATGTTTTAACAAAAAGATGCCGACAATGATGTTTTGTGTGTTTTTTTTTTCATCTGGCTCATTCCTGCAAAAAACTAAAATGTTTTTTGGGAGTTTTCACAAGAAAATTTGCAACAAAAGCCAAGTATGAGGGATGGTTATAGAAATTAACAATGATCAACCGTTTTTATTGTTGTTTGTTGATTGATTTTAACTTTTGAGGTCAAACGGATATATAACAAAAGTTGTGTGTGTGTGTTTTTTTTTCCTATAGGGCTTGCCTGATTGGAACCAAATTGTGAAAGAGCTGCCAGCAATGGAAGACTTATTAAGCAAACTAGAAAGATAACACAACACAATGGTTCATTTCTATGCCTTTTGCCAACTTTTATTTTTTATATGTCATGTCACAGTTATTATAATAATATTACACGAATACAAGGGGGAACTTGAACTTGTGCATCAAGTATATATATGTGGTTTTAAATTCTACTTTGGAAACTTGGTATATCCCAGACCCAGTTGCAAAGTAGTTTCATGGATGCATGGATGCTTTGCTTTAATTTGGCATCGTGTTCTTGTAAAAAGCAATATTAAGCGTTGGTTGGGTCCTTTGGATTCTCCTAGCTCCTAACCTAACCAATATATATATCACACATTTGCCCATCCTAGATATATTGGGAATCTTATGTTTTTTAACCAAGTCAAATGTTGTGTGTGTATCAAGGTCCCTTGTTCAATAAGCTAGCTAGCTGGCTGAGAAAGATTCCATGGTATATGATATCATTGATTGCAAAAACAGTAATCTAATTATTTACTTTTTGAATGATACGATTTTTAGGAATATTTATCCATCCATCCGATCTACTAGTACTACACATGAATTGGTAAAAACTGACACTTGTAAATTGTAATAACAACTCATCCATGTGGCAAACTCCAAGAGCTACAGAATACAATTAAGGAAAGAGGGAAATTAATGCTGGATTTTACAAAATACGTAAAATTCCAAATGAACCATTGATTTTTTTAAAAAAAATATATAAAAAAGGATTCTCGTTTGTAAGAGTTACATTTGTAATTGTGGGCTGTGATGTGAATGCAAAATTACCGTTGTATTTGTACTTTGTAGTAGTAGTAGTAGTGTTTTTATGTTGCTTTTTTTTTGGTTGCATAAACACTGGTTTAATTTTCTCCAAATAGCATTATCAAAACTGCATGTCCTCATAGTTCCAAAGCTGATTATAAATTATAGGGAACCCATCTACGTTTTACATCATCACCATGGATTGATAGTGAAACCAGTACTTGTTGCTATTTATATGTCACCAACAATGAATGTGTTGTACGGAAATGGAATATCCATATTAATTTGCACGTCCAAAACACACGCAAACATGTTATTCGTAACGATTAAAATGAAGGAAACACATATATAGATTGCTCAAATGAAAATAAGTTTATGAAATTGAACAAACATTAAACATACATACATACATACTACCACGATCAACAGCGATGTTAGACTGTTGACAATATTTCAAAGCAAAAAAACTGCAGCCATGGGGAGCGCAGATGAAAGATAAGCAGAAAAGGTAACTAATGATGATGGATACCATATATGCCATGCCATGCCATGGGGCAAGATATCTTGAATTCGTGTTAATTAAGCTAAGCCTTGGGCTTCTTCACTACCATGACTGTGCAGTGAGCATGATGGGTAACATAGTCGCTTACACTTCCTAAAACCGCCCTATACATTATAATATATATATATATGAACAACATCAATTTTAATCTTATATATAAATCATATAGCTAGCCTAGCTAGAGACATGCATATATGTTTAATTAATTGAGTATATAAATTACTCATAATTAATTAATTAATTAATGGTATGTCGTATGTACCTTTTTATTGCTCCATAACCATGGCTTCCAACAACCAGTATGGTGGCATGGTACCTCTCCACAGCATCACACAGGATGTTTCTCGCATCCCCTTCCACAATCTCTAGTGTCGCATCATTCACCTGCATAATGCATTCATTGCATACATGATCCACGTTTGATTAAATACAGTCGGTCATGAATTTCTTCAGCAACCCAACTATATATCATTCAAATTTGATAACCGGCCAAATCATAACATCAAATTTTTGATGCTCGACCACTTAATTCAGAGCTAATTATTTGTAATTTCTCCCAATATATATTCACAATTGAAGCTGGATTCACAAACCGATTTAGAAAGGCAAATCTCCCTTGCCCTTTCGATAACTCGAGCAGCGATGTTCTTCAAATCCACATCCACATGCGACAAAACTTCCACACCTGCAATTTCATCATATATTCATATTCAGCAACAAATTTAATACATACATATACATGCATGCGAATTGAAGAAGATAATCAATACCCAAAATATATATTAATTACCTGGAACGGCGAATCCAATGGAAGAAGGAGGAGTAGGTTTGCTGTTAACGATGATTAGTTCGAAGGGATGATGTGGAGCAGAGGATACAAAGAAGTGATCCAACGTCCACTCCAGTGCGAAAAAACTCTGCTCGCTATCATCAACTCCGACGACCATCACCGGTTTCGCTGTTGCCGCCATTGTTATTGTTGCTGTGTGTGTCGTGTGTGTACAGTTGTAGCAATTGCAATGTTAGTTGCATCACTATTCAGAATTACAGTTTAAATAGACCAAAAAGGAGACTTAACGCCGTTAGTTTCAACTTTCAATACATGTAAAAAGTACAAAGTCTGAAACTTCTCTGTTATCTAGCTTCCATGAAAAAAATTAAGTGCGTCGACGTATATAAACGTAAACGAAAAAGTAATAAAGAAAACAAGGTGTTATATATTCCACGCAACAAACTAACGGTATTAATTTTTTTTTATTATTATTTAAATCAACATTCCTTGTAATACTATTTAGAAAAATCACTGATTTTTATTTTTTTAATAATATGAAGTTACCTGTTTCTACCCAGTTTTTTTGCAAAAATGGGGTTCCATTTTGCTTTGTAAAAATAGGAGCATTTTACAATGCATTTGCAAATATAGGACGGTAGCCCAATCACCAATATTTACTTTATCATTTTAAAATTTTATATTTGAGGCCCTTACACTATCATAACATATTATATGAATATCCTTTTTATTTTTAAAACTTTTTAGCTTTTATATGTATTTTTTCATCTATTAAATTTATATGTGAATTAAATGTATATGTGACACCTTAAAATATATTAATTCATTATATTTATATTCTTTGTTATCTTTTATTCATATTTTATATTTAATATGTTTTACTATTTTATCTACAAATTTATTTTTTTTAAATATATACCTCATTATTTATTTTATTATAAAATTTTCGTTACTATCATCAATTCAATATTGATTCTTCATATAATAAATGCTAATAAATTATAAAAAAGGTAGATATTATATAGTATCCATGATTTCACCAATTTTATTTTTTTAAATTTACATCTAAATTGTATCTTTATTATGACAATGGTCTTTACATTCTAATATTTTTCGTAACTTTATGTTTTATTTTTTTACGACTCCTTTTGTTTTATAAAACAAAGTTTTTTTTTTTGGTTTTGAATATGTTAACAACTTTTTATTTTCACAAATTTGTTTTCTGCGATTTTTATATTTAAAAAAACCATATAATAATGTAAAAAGTTACGAAAACATGCTAAAATATGTGAATATATCGAGTTAAATAATTTTTTTAAATGCTTTTTAAAGTCTTTACAAAAATTAAAAAAATAAAACTAATAATGTCATCTGGAATTAAATATTTTTCTCTAATGAGTTGTTTTTCAAAATATTTTAAAAAATAAAAAATAAAAGTAAATAATCAATTTAAATCCATTAGTTCAGAAATCATATTATTTAATTTTTTCTTAAAGACTTTAAAAGAATAATATTTTAAAAAAATATATCTAACTCTACATAGTCACATATCTTATATAACATGTTTACATTATTATGATTTTTTTAAATATAACAACCGTTATTGAAAAAAAGTTATAAAAGTTGAATTTGTGAAAATGAAATTTTTAAAAAGATATATGAAAACAAAGTTGCCAAAATAATTAAAACAAAACAACTTTGTTTTGAAAAACAAAAAGTAGTTCGTAAAAAAAACTAAAACATAAAATCAATACGTAAATACCAATATCGTAATAAAGATAAAGTTTGGATGTAAATTTATAAAAGAAAAATTGTTAAATCATGGATACTATATAGTAATATATGGTAATTAGGGATGTCAAAAACCCCCGTGGAACCCCGCTCCCGTGGGATCCCGATCCCGTATGGGACTAAATTTTTAAAAAAACCGGGAACGGGAGCGGGAGCGGGGGCAAAATTAAACCCCGCTTATTTTCGGGACCGGGAGCGGGAGTTGGTATTCCCGTCCCGTACTCCCGCGGGGTCCCGGTTGTATATTTATGTAAAAAATATATATTTAATATAAAATACATATACAAAATAGATTTTCTAATTTTAAGTGTAGGTTAGGTTTCACTTTCCCGTTTTCAATTAATAGATATTGAAGAGGTAGTGAATTAATCATATATTTTTTGATATGTAAGTATTTTATATTTGTAATATTGGATTTGTCATATTTTATATTTTTAAGATTGATGGAATTGTCGTTTTGTAATATTGAATTCGTAATGTTGAATTTTTAATTGTTTAGTTTCTAAAAGATTACGTTTTAAACTTTTAAAGTTATTAAAAACAAGCTTTTTAGCCTAACACAAAGTAGTCGTTTAGCAAAAAAAACGAATTTTAAGCGGGGGAACCGGGGGAACGGGGGCGGGACCGGGGGTGATGGAGGTAACCGGGAGCGGGACCGTGGGCTATGTAAACGGGGGTGCCGGGGGCGGGACCGGGACCGGGGGCAACAATTGATTTCGGGGGCGGGAGCGGGGGCAGCTATTCCCGCTCCCATTTGATCCCGTTGACATCCCTAATGATAATATGGAGTATCAATATTGAATCAAGATACTGATGAAAATTTTATAGTAAAACAGATAACAAAAATAAACATTTTAAAGAAATAATTAAGTTTATAGATAAAATATTAAAGAATCATACTGATAAAATATGAATAAAATATAACAAAAAGTATAAATATATTTAATATATTTTAAGGGTCTCACATATAAATTTCGTAATAAAGATAAAGTTTGGATGTAAATTTATAAAAGAAAAACTGTTAAATCATGGATATTATATAGTAATATATGGTAATATGAACTATCAATATTGAATCAAGATACTAATGAAAATTTTATAGTAAAACAGATAACAAAATAAACATTTTAAAGAAATAATTAAGTTTATAGATAAAATATTAAAGAATCATAATGATAAAATATGAATAAAATATAACAAAAAGTATAAATATATTTAATATATTTTAAGGGTCTCACATATAAATTTCTTAATAAAGATAAAGTTTGGATGTAAATTTATAAAAGAAAAATTGTTAAATCATGGATATTATATAGTAATATATGGTAATATGAAGTATCAATATTGAATCAAGATACTAATGAAAATTTTATAGTAAAACAGATAACAAAATAAATATTTTAAAGAAATAATTAAGTTTATAGATAAAATATTAAAGAATCATAATGATAAAATATGAATAAAATATAACAAAAAGTATAAATATATTTAATATATTTTAAGAGTCTCACGTATAAATTTAATAGAGGGATAATATACCAATAAAAGCTAAAAAATTCTAAAAATAAAAAGATATGATTAATTGGGGCCACAGCCCTATCTTTGCAGAATGCATTTTAAAGGATACTATGTTTACAAAGATTTTCACTTTCTACCACAATATGCATATCTCCTTATTTTCTTTATCACTTTTTTGTTTATTTGTTTACGTGTCATTTTAATATAATTTTTCAATAATATTATATATCTCTTAATTAATAACTTATTTAAAAAATAACTATTAATTTTTACTATGAAAATTTAATTAATTTTATAATCTTGGTTTCTGCAAGTTATAAACTAGTACTATTATTATATGCATGCATGAAGTGATAGGAAACCAATAACAAGTTAAATCATTGTTTTTGTTTTCGAAAGAGAAGTTAAATCGTTGTCGCATAAATTAGAGCAAAAAATCTACTTTGCATTCACTCTTTTAGTAGTATTAAGATATACTTGTTCTTTTATAAATAGGCTTTTATATTTTTCTTTTGATATATTTTATTTTGAAAAATATCTTAGAAAGAAGATAAAAAGCACGTGGTGTAATCTATTGCTTTAACGTCATTGTTGACAAGTGGACGTGCTCTTTTTCCCTATCACGGCAATGTAATGCATGCAATATTCGGTTTGATGATTAAATACCCTCGTATCAATTCCTTGCTATATTTGAAAAGCATTGATCATCAAAGATAAACAACATTAACAAACTATGACAAAATCATATAGATATATTAGGGCCGGCTATGTAGAAGTTTTTTAAGCTAGGGCTTAGGGTCCCCAATTCTAAGGAGCCTCATATTTTTCAAAATCCAAAAGTTTAGTCCACTAAAAAATTCAATCTGGTAACCACAAAATCAATGAAGCGGAAGAATAAATCAACTATCGCTGTATTTATAAAACTGAAACGACATTGCATTCTTCTACTGATTCTATTTTCTGCGACATATTTATCTCATTTGTTTTTGATTTTCGAGTCTAGTAAAGGGCAAAGGGCCCCAATTTTTTGACTTGCTTAGAACCCCTAAAATGGTTGAGCTGCCCATGGATATATAGATATTCACATCGTAAAAGAAATTCCAGGGTATATGATTCTTTGCTTGTAATCAATATTGGAAATAGAGAACAACAGAGTATAATCTAAAATGGGTTAACAGCCCTAAAAGAAAAGAATGATGAAGTTATAGACAACGTCAATCTCAAGTGATTTCTTGTTCTCAGGTTCATATAACCTTTCGATCTAAAATGGGTTAATTTAAGAATTTATTCTTAAATTAATGCATTTGCATGCATAGTAATTAATTAAACTAGGAGGGTTGCTGTTCAAATAATAATAATAATAATAATAATAAAAAACTAGGAGCCTGAGTTTATCTCTTTAGTTAAAAAGAAGAAAGATAAAGATACCTCGATAAGCCAAGTTGACTAAAAGATGCTAGTTGGGTGGTCATTGGGGCTTGGGATATAAAGAGAGAGATAGAATGGAAGAGGGTTAGTGAGTGGTTTTGGTTCTTTTTTATCTTCATAAAGACACTAGTCTTTTGAGTTGTGTCAATGTGTCCAAATCACCCACTAGACATTAGGTTCAGTTTTTGGGCTTACTTTTTTAGCCCATCTAGGGCTCAGACTAGCTAACGGCTACCCTCGCCCAATCAAATCCAAGACCAAGGCACATGGCCCAAGCCCAATCCATGAAGAAACCAATGGCATACGACAATACGTTTATACAACTGTATGTTAAACTGCAAATTGGCGGTTCTAGAGCGGGGATGCATGTTCCCCATCAACACAAAATTAACTAACATCAATAAGCTACATTTATTCTTTTTATTACTATTGTTTTAAATATATGATGTGCCCTCCAGGCAAAGTCCACATAATGGTGCCCCTCATTAATATTGGGCTGAAAGAAGAAAAAAAAAAGCAAAGCAAGCCCATCAAAAGGAATAAAGGGAATAAAGGCTAGACCCCAATGGATCTTGGTTATAAAGACTTCGTCTGTTGCGTTATTAAC